TTTCTTAATAATTTGTCTTTTACTGTCGATTGCCATAAAGAGGTTCAAAGCCACCTCTTCACATCCAATGAAGTGTACCCCAAATTCTTTACTGAGTTTGATTATGTTTTCCTGGACCCATGAAGAAATTTCATTCTCTGCTGATGTATCAGTTCCATGCTCATTAGAGTTCAGTGGTAAGATATCTTCAATTGTGCCTTCCCCCTCTACCTTCTGCTCCAATTGCATGTCGCTCACTGTTTGTATCTCCTAATCTGTACTTTCCTCTATTTGGATAACGGACATATCGTCATCATCACTTAGGTCTGCGACAAACTCGAGATTGTTTCCCTCGTCTCCCAATTCAAAAGGAATTAGGATACCTTCTCTACCCTGTTCCGTTAGAATTCTGCAATTTGCTTCTATTTCATCATGAAAAGGCTCGGAAAGCCTTTCACTCTCACTAGGCTTCTTTTTTATTTGAGCTGCATCTTTATCCGTTGCTTTTCTGCCCTCCTGATCTCCGCTGGACTTGTTTGAAGCTCCCGTGTCTTGATTTCCCAATTCCTCAAATTCTTTATTTGTTGTTATACGAGATAGGTTTGCTTGTATCTCAATGTTAACTATGTCAAGACTTTAGGTTGCATTATTCTTCTGTTGTTGCCTTTTTGGGCCCAAATTTTCCTTTCTTTCAAGCTGGTCTGCTACAGCTGATAAAGGCCCTTTTCCTTTCCTGTTTGCCTCACGTGTAGAGTCACGTGATCTCCAATTCAAATTTTCGCCAGCTGCTGATGTACCCACGTGGTGGTCTGACTCTTCATTTTAACACTAAAGGGGGAAAGAAACCCTTGTTGCCTAACAGTCCATAATGTTGTTCCTTTTTCCTCGTCGTCTCCTTTCGAAAAGTCATCGGCGCTTCACACCAGATCGGCATTGTATACACAAAACCCTCACTGGTGATTTCAATCTCCTTCGGGACCATCTTCCCATCACCCTTCACCTTGATGCGTGCCCAGTGCATGTGATTTTTGAGGGTTGTTTCTTCCTCTGCTTTAATGAAACCCCCACACTGGTCTCCGATAAGCTTGAAGACTTTATGGGACCATAGGTTTAGGGGTAAACCCAACACTCTTATCCACACCCAGTCTCTAGCTACAGCTTCCGGCCAACAACCTGTGATTGGGCTCCACCACTTTAGGTTCAGTTGCATCTTCTTCCAGACCCATGTTCCTGCCATGACGTGCTCTGCAGCCACTTTTGTGGGTAGCTCGAAAAGGAAGTGCCCGTCGTTTATAAAGAAGACGCTGACTCCTATGGCTGACTTCCAAGTGTTGCATGCCCACCTTCTTACATCATTGAGGGTTGGAATCTCTCGAAGTGTGGTCTGGAATTTACCGACAATGCATCCCTTGAGGAGATCGGTCTTCGATGTCGGTGTTACATTCACCACCTTTAGGTGGTCACCTTCCACCAGTATGTGCGCCTTCTTCGTGGATTATGTCGTCCACCTATTGTTCCTTACTGCGTCCTTATAAGATACCCCTAGTGCCTTCCCTTTGTTAAATTGTGTTTTTTTGCTCTGTTGTAGGCTCATAGGTGAATTTTGCTATTTTATGAGCGATGTTTCCCCAACCCGTGTTGTAAGATGATTCCGGTGTAATGATGACTGCTTTGTTCTGTCCTTGAATAGCAATAAAACTGATATATTTGCCCTTTTTGTTGTATTTAAGGGTGCAAAAGAGATCCGAGTACAAGTTCTTTACTTTCCATCTTTTGACAGAGTCCCCTTGGACCTCCGACGCCTCAATAAATACTGAAATCAGCCATCTCAGGACTTTAATGCTAATCTTCCCTCTTCTCACTAACTTCCTGCTACGTTCAGTCCACTCGTACCATGTTTCTGCTCCTTCTTTACATCTGGTGATTTCATAAGACTTGAAACCTGCGTTATAAAGATGGTGTTTTCCCCCATTGATAAGATTCCGGCCAAGGTTGCCGGAAAAGCCCCCAAAGGTGTGATAAAATACGACTTTATGTTGAAAGTTGGCCAACCTCGAAAATCGTGTATGGGAGCAATTTTTTTGTGTTTTTGATAAAAATTGAACGAAAAGTTTATTATGCTATTATGAAGTATATGAGCTTTAACTCGTTCTTGTTTGACATAATGAAGGAGTAATTCAGCTATAAAGTCAAAAGATCATAAATGGAGTAAAAAATGGTATAAATTGTTGTGTGATGGGTTCGAACGCACTACCCAAGCGCTCTGTAGCAGCCCCTCAGCTGCTGTGCCAACTAATCACATTGTGTCCAAAGATCTCAACATTAATATATATACTATAAAATCAAAATTTAACTTATCTATACAATGTAATTTTCTGGGGAAGGGGTGTCTCTTTAATATATATACTATAAAATCAAAATTTAACTTATCTATACAATGTAATTTCTTTTGACACCCATCAGGCAAGGGTAGCTCTGCCCTGTCGAGGAGTCTGCAGGTACTTTGGATCCTCTGACACCCCATCGGGTTGCTTTTCCAAATTTCGCTGGTGTTCAGGTAGGTCGTGATGGCCTTGAGATGGCTGTCTCCTGTCCCCACACTATGCTTTTCAAATCATAAGAACTAGAAATCCTCAGTTTGATCCGAGTGGGGGGTGGGTTTTGATCTTTTGCTGCTCCCATTGACCACAGAGCTAGAGGAATACGAGAGGAAGTGCTGAGCAATGATTCGACATTTCGGTATTAGTGTTCAGTTTAGTTCCTGCATGTTATTCCTTCCTATTCATTTCATTTTTTCTTATTAGTGTTTTTTTTGTGTGTAATCTCTTGATTTTTTCTCAACAATTACCTGTTTACCACCAAAGCGACCTATCTCTTTCTTACTGGTACTATTGTTATTATGCTATCTTGTGGGTCCAACGCGTGTTGACGATTTTTTCAAGGATAGTGCCACGTAGGTCGAAATGGGGTAGAAAATTATATATAAAATAAGTTCAGGGGGTAATAGGACCTTATTAAAGGTTAGGTGTGTCTCAGAGATTTTGGGCATAGGTTGGAGGGGTACTTATACATTTTCCCTAAATTATAAGCCAAGACCTTTCCTTTTCTTGATAGCAGAACATGATTGACTGGCACTAAGAACTGATTTGGAGAAAGAAACTTTACTAATTAAGTTTGAACTGTGACCTTTCAAGTTTCAACCATTAAACTTAATGCGATAAAACTATAATATAAACTCGATGAATTTGTTGGTTTTTCTTCCTCTTTGGTTTATACCAATGGACAGTAGCTAGAAAGGATATGTATCCCAAGATGATTAAAATTTAACTTAGTTACCATGAAGGAGTATATCTCATTAGAGTAAAATGTCTATTTTCATTTGATAAAAATAAATTAGTAAGACAAAATTCTCAAAAAAATAATAATTAGTAAGACAATTTGCAACTTATAATTCCTCTTCTTCTTGAGTACTTCTATTAGAATGAATAAAATTTATGTTTTTCCTTCTTCACTATGTGCAAACACATTGTTTTGATTAGTGTTTTGTGCAATCATCTTATATTGAATTGCCTTAACTAGTTTAGAATTATTTTCAATGTGAGTCGAGTGACATATTGGTGAGTATTAGACAGTTAGAAAAACAAATTTAAGGAAGATTTAATAGCATAAAATTTCTTATGAATATGTTAACACCCAAAAATCGAGAAAATTATAATGTGCTTCTATAAAAGCTGCAACCACTATAATCATACACACATCACCATTCACAATTCAGTAACTCTTTGTATTTTTTAAAAAATGATTAACCATTATATTGATTTCTTTTTACGCTCATTCAAATATTATCAAAAAATTAATATTTCAAAATAGTTATTATTTAATATGTTTGTTTTAATATTTAATTTCATACACACATAAATTAAAAGATAAAAAATTATTCTTTCTTGATGACTAAAATTAGTAAGTAAACACATTTATTATTACTAGATGACCATCTCTTGTAGATACTACTTACTCAGATCAAACCTCTAAATTATTTTCCTAATATGAAAAGTTTGACTCAAAAAATCTGGTCAGACAAAGACCAGAACCATAAACTGCATATATTTCAAGATGATAATATCCAACTTGGTATCTAATACACCCCCATTTAGTTATATGCTAAAGTAGTTACTACCGACAATTTAGTATTCTCTAATTCAAACTATTCAATAATTTACAAAATCTAAATTTTTCATATAAATAGGAGCCTATCCCAGGCAAAGAAACACACAACAACAGTCACATAGCAATTTGATCCCCTCCAAACAAACACATTTCTCCTCCTCTTTAATCATGAATAGAAAGATAGTAAAGTTTGCTTCCATCCTTTGAGATCACCCTTACGATCTCAATGATCTAATTTGTTTAATCACATAAATAATAGAAAGAAAGCAAGATTCACCTTGTTTCTAGTCATGGCTAAAGAGGAAGAGAAATGTGTGCGTTTGATGGGGATCAAATGATTATGTTGTTGAGTGTATCTTTGCCTAGGATTAACTCCTATTTGTAGGGAACGATTACCCCATCGACAATTTGTTCATCCCCTCCTACTAAAGGGCCCCAAACAATTGTTTCATCTGGCGGCTCATTTGAGTACCCCTCCTCGTGGGTTCCTCCTTTTCTTTCGCAAATGTTCCCTCTAATGGTTTTGCAATTGTATTTGGCTTGATGGTAGAATAGAGCACCGTGTCGGTCGTAGTATTAGCTTTTTCATGTAGTTGGTGTATTTTGGTATTTGATATCATCTATTTTTAGGTGATCGCACTTTGTTGTTATGTTACGGTTCCTTGTATATATATGCTCTGCACTAGTTTGCTATTAGTTTTCATGTTTCTCTCCACTGCCCGTTTGTTATTGCTTTGATTTGCTTGAGCCGAGGGTTTTTCAGATCGCACTTAATGTTCAAGATCCAACATTCATAGCTTCTCCATTGTCTTCTCCAGTATTTCCTCCGGTAACACCACAAATTGGCCCTTCAATGAATATCCCCCAAATGGGTGCATCAGTGCCGATCAATTACTATCAGAACTACTTTGTTGGCTTTCCACAGGGTCCAACATTGTCTGAGTTGTGCCCCCATTGTCGAGCTACGAGCTCTACTGCAAGGTTTCCTTCTTGCCCATAAATATTTCCCCTTTACCATTACAAATTGAGATTGATTCACAACCTACTAATCATCTATACTCACACCTTCCTTATCATGACTGCAGGTGTTTGATAGCTTTGCTGAATACTCCAGTAGTTCACCATATATATATATGTAGGGAGCAGAACTATTTGGCAGACAAATTAGCAGGCATTACCAGTACAAACACAGGGATGTTCACTACATCTTCTTGACCAGCCTCTTGATTTTGTGATGGATATACTGCAGGCAGATATCGCAGGAACTCCTTACCTACGTAAAATTAACAATTGCCTAGGATCTAACTTGTGTAATAGTCGGCATAACTACTACTCCTTTTGCTACTGTAAATATGCCTTCTATCAGTATTGCTCTTACTCCTACTGATTTCGTTTCTGATCTGATTGTACAAACACTATGGGGGTTCGTCCCCTACTATGTTATGTTATAGTTGGCTTTGTGTAATTGCTTGCTTGGAATATATCGTGTAAATACAATTCAAAATTTTGGGTGAGCTGATTTAGATTACACAGATGACAAAAGTTAGAGATCCCTAAAATGCATGACATGATATAATTTAATGTAAACATCGAGTAGTCTTTGTTTAACCACTAAATAAATATATGGCTCAACCTTGAAGAAATTAAACCTTGCTCAGATATTGATATCCCTGCTCATTTTTCGGATGCTTCAATACTTGAGGAAATTAAACCTTGCTCAGATACAAGCATTCAATAGTTGGAAGACTATTCAAATGAAACAATTTTGAATCTAGTAGTTGTTTATATTATTTCTTGAGTTTTGCTTACACACCTTCACAACTTTTTAGGCAAAAAATTTTAACCCTTCAAGAGGTGTTGGTATTTTCAGAAATAAGGAAGAAAAGTCTTTTTATTTTTCAAATCTAATTGCATTAGCAGCAAGTAAAAAACTAATACTAGCATAATTAACTGTTGTCAAAAAGACAGATGGGAAATTGTATACAATGTTGTATTTCCTTGACAAATATGTACAGAGGAGCTCAATGAAGCTGTACCCCCCCCCACCACCTTCCCCACCAGGATTTCCTTTTCTTTTGGAGCTAAAAGCCTTAAAATTACAGCATATCATGTAAATTATCGACGATCAGCAAGACCAGAGCCCAGAGGCATTACATGGAACCTGCTCAATAATCAAATTCTTAAGTTCAGTTTTTTTGTTGTTCTGCTGCATCCTAGCTTCAACTTCCTCGATTGTACAAACAAGCCACGACATGCCTTGGAGAGTGTCAAGAACAGTGTTTTACTCAAACAAGCTCTCTTTCTGATTCATTTTGATGAACATACTGGAACTCTCTTTCTGGATGTGAAATATCGTCTGAATCATCACTACGATTGACAACATCGTTATCATTGTCAAAAACCTCTATGTATGCATCATCTCCTTCCTCCTGTTAATGAACCGAGTTAGGTGATTTGACAATAATAATGAAAGAGTTAAAATATAGAAAGGGTGCGCGCCTATATTATGCACATTGTGAAGAGGGAGGTTGAACTGTCCGGAATGACCTCCTTTCAACTCCTTATCCTTTACCATACTTTATAGGATGATGCAATTAAACAAGGTTATCAAGGAGATTTTCGTGATGTTTGTGCATTGTGTTTCTATGCAGTTCAAATCGTCAATAGACAAGAAATTCCGCATGTATTCCTTGAAAAAGGTATCCTTTGTAGAAGTTTATCCTGATACAGAACATGCTCTTTTTTTTAAAAAAAACGATGGTGGTGTCCGTGACAACTTTCGTTCACCACATTTAATTCCACCAGGTACCTGCTACCTCCCACCAACACAAGTACCGGTAACTCTGCACATGATGACAGTGTCTTCAACTGCAACTCATCACATCACTAATTTGCAGACTAAAATTTCAAGTTTTGAGTGAGTTACAACGTGAATTGTTATAATCTACACTTTAGAAGATACATGTGCCTATATAACAGAGTAAAGCTCAAAGTAGATAAAATGCACCTCCTAATTTCATGTTTTTCTTTTGCACAATTTCTACATCTAATTTTTTGTTACATCTTTTTCTCTTTGATTTTGGAAAGAGGCTTTCACCAATTACGTTTATCCATTTTACAAACATTTCGGAATTCATCTATACATATACATGCACCTGAATTGAGTGGGAGGATAAAGAACATATGCCAAACATCCGTTAATGCTTGATTAAGCCAAGGTGACACTAATTTAACATGTTTTGGCCTGAGCCAGAATAACGCTTTAACAGGAAAAATCTCGGTTTAGTCAGTTTCAGTCATTAGAACTGCTCCTTGAGGAGGAGAAACAGAAATGACATTCCATATGCAATCTAAAGAAAAAAGAAACTGAATAATCAAGTGCTGCTAAAATGCCAGATGGAGATACTAACCTCACTATCCTCGTCTTCAGAAGAATAAGAAGAATTTAGTTTATCATATAGTTCATCATCCGTAGAGTCTTTCAGACTAGCCAGTTGTTCCTACCATCAAAAGCATATGGCAGAAAAGGTTCAATAAAATCCAAATGAGCCAAAGCGTGAACAACTAACATAAGGATCTACTTAAGTTAACCAAAAAATACTAGATACGAGATGCAGAGTAGCAAAGAGATTATACAATTTCTGCTGTAAGCTGTCCAACTCTTGTTTGAACTGCTGAAATATGTTCCAGAAGAGCCTGTTACAGCAGCAAAGCCTTGTCATTAGCACAAATCTCTTAAAAAATTAAAACTTATTACATATGTACATGACAACTCTTACAGAGGCAGATTCAAGCAACACAAACCGAATGGGCTAAAAACTGCTTGTACATAGCACATAAAAGAGAAAAAATATTCAAAGACTAAAGGAATTAGGTCAAAGAAGGTACCTCACGTCTCTGAAGCTCTATTGAACGTGCCAGTGCCTTTCTTTTGGTTAAAAGATTTTTGGGCCTAAGAGTAAGTGGTCGACTGTAGTCCTTACCACGGAACACAATTATAGCATATCCTTTGGACACTTTGTCCACTGAAACCAAGACGCCTCCACTCTCTGCTTCAAGGGCTAGTGCAATTTTTGATACTTGTTCGAAATTCTTGGCCTTCACCATGATTTTAACCAATTCACGGTACTTCCAATGCAAGTGCATATTCTCCACCGTACCATCGAAAATTCCACGTCTACCTGAAAAGAGAAGAGCATTTCATGTCATTTTCTGGTTGTTCAGCACAAAAATCGAGTTTGAGAAAGAAAGTTACCTAAAAGTAAGAAAGCTTTCATCCTTAGCCCAAGCTTCCGAAACATAAATCTCTCCTCATCTGTTAAGCTATCAGGTTCTGCACGCCTATCCAAAGGATTTAAAGTTTCCTCCACCTTTGACAAGACACGCTCAGCTTTCATTAACTTTCTTTCAGCCTGAAAAGTACATTTTGCTTTAATGTCTCTCACTGGACTCTTGAATCTCCAAGATATTACACACTGATTTGAAATGAGCTATCTCACAATTTTACAATAGACAATTGAAAGAACTAAAATCATGACAAAGCTGCCAGAAAACAGAAAACCAGTAACAAATAGGCTTTTAATAAAAGTAACCTGGCTTTTGCAGAACTTACAAATGCTAGTTTCTTTTCAAGCTTCCTGACCAGGTCACCATGCCTTAATAGTTCAGCTTCTCGCATCACATTCTCCTTGTCCTTATCATCCAGCCTTTTCCCCCATCTAGCATCAGCATCCAAAGTTTCTCCTAGTGTGCCAGCAGTCCTTGAAGAATTAATTGTTGTAACACCTGCTGTGAGTAAGAGTGATGCTCGTAGCCTAGCTTTCTCTTCTTCATCTTGCAAGGTCTTTGCCAATCTCTCCTTCTCTAACAAGGCTTCTGCAACCTCTGGTGACAAAAAATCTTTCCCTCTGTAGAATACCAAGAAGTCCTTGTTTCTAGATAGTAGCATACCCCCTGTTAATTTCTGAACACAAAGCCAAATAATATGTAGATATTGTTAAGCTATATTACTATGCTATCGACATTCAGTTAATACAAAAAAATATTGGCCTGTGACAGAAAATATCCGACTCTTAATTAGATCTCGGGAAAGCGTCAAACTCAGTATGAAAAAACATTTTGATAACAGTGAGAATGGTTTCAATGTTAGAAATGGAACTTGTGAAGACCTTTTCAAGTGTAATATGAATTTTTATTCAACCTTGTGGTTCTTTTGTCTTCTAGCAACTATGATCCAGTATAGAGGCGACAAAGAACTAAATCCTAGTCAGCACACAAGTCTTCCAGAGAGCAGAAATGTCATTTGGAAGACTTGCTTTGGGTTTTGGTTGGACAAACATACAATACCGTAACAATATCCTTTTATGAGACAATATCATTGCAATATGTACTTTTGAAACATTGAGAATTTGGTAAATTGCATAATTCATTCATTCTATGTGTATTTAAGTAAGCTTTTCGTTGCCTTTTCTTTTGGAATGAAATTCTGTCTTGTCTGTTTTAAATCAGCAACTGTCCGTAAGGCCTATTGAACCAAACAAAGTGTGACTTGAAAGTAAATAACTGGTATATCACAGTAGAATACCAACTAGAAGGCATGGAAACGACACCACTTTTTTGTGAATAATGTACAGAACTACACCAAAGCACTCTTTTAGTACCTTAATATCCTCAGCCATTCTCTCACTTGTTGTAAGCTGAACTCCACGTTTTATAGCAATCTTTGCAATTGAACTTCGTTGCCACATCTTAACCATGACTGAGGCCAAACCTTGATGCTGCCTGCTTCTACCTGAATACTTGAACTACATAATATTTAGAGTATATTTTGAGAAATCCAAAATACTTAGATAAGTCCAGCGATGCATACCTAAAGCAAAATGTGGAGGTAGAACTCTGGCAAGCCTTCTTAAAGCAGTTGCTTCTCTTGCCGCAAGAGTAGATCTCACCCCATATGGAAGAATTCTGAAAGGAGGTTGATATCCAGGGACTATACCTGGAAGTAAATCTGCATCTACAGGAAGTGGACCAGATCCTGGCCAATCTGTATACCTAGGCCCCAAGCCATCTAATAGTTTGTCTACTTCATCTTCATAGTTCACTTCTGATTGTCTATCAATATTTTTGTTCTCTTCAGAAGTATCTACAGAGTCTTCTCGGAGGGAATCCACATCATTGCGAGGATTCTGATTACTTTCGCCATCAACTATTGGA